GTCAGAACGACACAGGCTTCAGCTGCGATGGAACAGCCAGTACCTTCCGAGTCATGTTCAAGGAGCCTGTGGAAATTCTTCCTAGCGTCAACTACATTGCCTGCGCCACCCTCAAGGTAAAACAGAATTAGAGTTTGCTTATCTATTAGCTTTTGAGTCTAAGTAATTTATGTGCAATTATGCTATTGTAAATGCCACATGCCACCGACATCAAATCATGGTTCATTGTGTTGAAATCCAGTTATTTCAATAGGAATCTGCGTAAAGGGGTGTTCGCATGTGGGTGGATGATGTCCCGAAGCATACTTTGCATTGGGTTCAAGTTTGTCAAGTGAATTTGCTGTGTTTGGTTTGATTTCTGTCTGAGTTGTGCTTTATATATTGCTTAAGTTCTTGACTGCACCCTTAGATCCCTTAACCCCTCTGTTACTAAAGAATAAAGCTTAATTACAAAGAATAATTCACAATATACTTAATTTAATCATTCATATGAATTTGAAATGAACTTTTGATGGGTTCATGCTTTTGCAGGGACCAGACTCTCATTATGGGACCAAGGGGATGCGTAAAGTCACACACGAAGCCCCCGCTACTGGTACCAAGACCTGCTTTACATTCTGCTACGCTGCAGGCAACAACAACGGCACTTCCGTAGAGGATGGACAAATCCCAGAGGTCATCTTCTACACATAATGACCAAGCAGAATCATCTCATGATGGAGGACTCTTGCATTACATTTTGTGGCCAATTCACTGGTCTCTATGTAGACCGGCGACCAAATACTGATCTCTCATTTCTAAAGGCTTTTTGTTTTTAAGATTTGAAGCATGAGAATTCAGTCCTTCAAAGTGTACTTAAGGTACAGTTTCTGTTTCATCCCAAGTAGCACCTCATAGTACCACTTCGATGTTATGACCAGCCAATGTCATTGCTAATTAATGAACAAATAGCTGAACTCAGTCATTGCAATGATCTACTACAGGTACAGTTCAGTAACTCTATAGAAGGCAACTTTCTTCCATTTGTCCGTTTATTTGAATGTTGACAACAGGTGTTTCTTTTGGTCCCATGTTTGACCCTTGATTGTTCAATGATTATCAGTCCTTCAAATCGCACTGATGCACTTCAGCTCCAGGCGCAACAGCAAGTTTGGGGAAAGTACACTACATCTTGATTAAGACTTCAAATCAGTGTAAAATTGACTGTTATGTACCCGTTTTGAGTGGCCTGCACCCCTTGATAGAGGTGAAACTTGATTTCTTCGATGGCAGTGTGAACAGTAGATGTTTGTTTTACCATAGTTGCCCATCTTGTTAATAGCGATAAACCACAAGAGCACTTGCATTCACAATGCCACTATGTATAAAATCTTTAAAGTATTGACTGCAGTGAAATACTGAACACATTTCTGTTACAGAATTTGCATATTTTCTTGAGATGTTGATATAAGGAAGATGAACAGGAAACAGCTTCTTGAATGTACCAATGCTTACCTTGTAAGCGCTGTAAATATAATGTCCTTGTCTTGTTTCTGTATGTTTAATTAAAGTCTGCACCCCTAGTTTGGGTCACAATGGATCAATTTATGCAGAATACACAATAGCTAATACTAACAATTTAATAATTGCAAATGGCAGTTGCTTATGCAAAACTTGGTAGAATGCTCTGACGACTTAGTCTTTACTGAGCAAAGTAAAAAGTCGAATCTTGGGTTTCTTCTTAAAAGTCTGTAGGTCTTTTTGCCCACCAAGTTAGACTGCTTTGAAACTACAGCACCTGTCATGTTTGCCGATTCTTGTTCCAATGACATATTAAATATGTACTAATAAAGTGATTGCCATGGAGTTAAAGTTAACATGCAATCGATCAACTGACTAATAGATAGCATGTTACATGGCACACAAAAAAACTGGACGGGATAGAACTGCAGTACTTTAAGTTAAACCAGCTTATTAAAGACCACTGTATACATTATTTTCATGCATCAAATGAACCTGACTGAAATCCTAGAAGGCCTGCACTAATTTAAAATGTAAACCAAAGACAGCTTATAATAACCCCAAATATAGAAATGCCCACACGTGATTACACATACCTGCATACTTTCTCACTTCAGCATATAAAAACCTAACCACTTAAAGAAAAAGAGACATTGAATTGCTGATCAAATATGCTTTATATTTTAGTCTTGCAGTCAAAGGCTTCCAAATTTCCAGAAATACACTAACTTGGAGGTAGATTGCTAATTTTTTTTATATTACAGCAAGTAGAGAATATCCATGTTAGTATACAGGTCATGTACACAGTACATAAATTGTAAAATATATAGTTTAAATATACATTTTCCAATTCATTACATTTGAGTTTTAGCACAAAACGTCAACTTGAAATTCCACTAGGAACTGAGAAAAGCCACCGTTAGCCTGCTGGTCCATAATAAAGATGCTTGCATAGTGCATCTTAAAAACAATGGTCATTTTAATGTTTTAGTTCATGTAAACAATCTCCTAGTGTTCTTGTCTGGTCCTCTATATGAGGGAGAAAGAGGAATGCAAATCTACAATTTGTCTAAGTAGTTGTCTAAAGCTGGAATGCCTTCTTTGAGCCCCTTGCGTTTTCGTGTATCAGCCACAACCTGGGCAGGCTTAGTGTTAGCTTCCATGGGGTCTCCAGGCAGGATCTGCCAATGGTCAAACACACACTGTGGGAAAGCCTGGCCAGATGTGTTGGAGCGAAGGTCAGCTGTGAAACCTGTGTAAAGATAACAGTTTAGGCTTTGTAACTTAAAATGCGTTGAAGAGAGAAGACAACAAAATTTATGCTTCACTCACCAAATGACTCGTTGACGGGCAGGTAGGCTTTAACCACAAACATAGGTGTTCCCATAACCTGGGACTCCTCAAATACAAGCCCACGCTTCCTGTTCAGTACACCATAGATTCCACCAACAACTGACTCTGGGCACTGTAGATGGATGGAAGTAAGGTTGTACAATTATGACAAGTACAGTAAACATCAAAAGGAAAACAAGGCTTTCGTGTGTGAACCCCTTGCATACCTGAATCTCCACCAGGTACACTGGCTCAAGAAGCCTGGGCTCAGCTGTGAGTTGACAGGCATAAAGCACTCTGCGAGCTGTGGGAATGATCTGGCCACCACCACGGTGGATTGCGTCAGTGTGCAGGGTCACATCATGAACATCAAAACGAACCCCACGCATGTTCTCCTCGCACAAGACTCCCTAAAAAGCAGAACACTTTTATAAACCGCATGATGACTCAAACAACTAAACCAAGGGTGTCTTGCTCCAGGAGGGCCATCTTCATGCTGAATTAAACCCCAATTAAACACCAGCTAATCAAGGTCTTCAGGACTCCGAATACTAGGAAGGTGTACAGGAGCAAAACTCATCAAGAAGTTGGCCTTCAAGTGGAGAGGACACTTTTGATTAAAAACATGTGGCATTTAAATTAACTTTCTTACCTCTTTAGTGGCCCATTGAAATCCCGCCACCACACTATCCTTGATCTCATTCAAGTATTGGACTCCCTTGGTCACGTCCACCAAGAGGTTGGGCCCAGTTCCATCAGGGCCAAAGCACCAGATCTTACGAGCTTCTGTGACTTCCCACTCATACTTATCAGCAAGGTAACGGGCACGGGCCTTCATCTCCTGCCTGGCAGTGACCTCACCCTTATCAATATCTTCAGGAAGACCCTCGGACAGAGGACGGGCTTTCATGAAGAGACGATTGTGCTTGTTTGGGGACTTAGAAAGGCACATTTGTTTGGACTCATCACTGACAGTCTCTCTGTAAGAGACAACTGGATCGGATTTCTGCAAAGCAGAAACAGCAGCTTATTAAATACTGTATGAATATTATATTGCCCCAATTGTGCAACTCGCGTTAAGTCAATGGTACCTTGAGGGGAATGCAGGCATGGTCCTCTTCAAGGTCCTTCAGACAAATCTCCAAATGAAGCTCACCGGCTCCTGCAATGATATGCTCACCAGACTCCTCAATGATGCACTGCACCATGGGATCTGACTTGGCCAGACGCTTCAACCCTTCCACCAGTTTAGGGAGGTCAGCAGGGTTCTTGGCCTCTACTGCCACTCTCACCACAGGACTGACACTGAACTTCATCACACGCATATTGTGGGCTTGCTCGAAAGTTGTGATTGTTCCGGTCTTTACCAAAAACTGATCCACACCTACCAGACCCACAATGTTACCACAGGGCACATCCTCAATAGGCTCAACATAGCGGCCCATCATCAGAATGGTCCTGAAAGACAAAAACAGCCAAGTCATTTCAAATCTTAACTAGTAGTTCTTTTCGGTGACAAAACAGTTGCTTGTTTAAAAAAAACAAAAAAACTAACCGTTGAATGGGTTTAATGTAAAGATCCTCCTTTTTTCCAGGAGTGAAGTTTGGCCCCATTATGCGAACCTTCAGGCCAGTGGACACAGAGCCAGAAAAGACACGACCAAAGGCATAGAAACGACCTTTGTCAGTGGTCGGAACCATCTTCGAGATGTACATCATGAGAGGTGCTTTGGGGTCGCAGTTTTTGATGCCTGAGAAAACCGAAGATTAAGACTATAACCAACCTTGAAAATTGTTAATTCTAGGAGAAATGTGAGCAGTTCCTAGCACAACATACCCATGGCAGCCTCATCATCTCCAGGTCCTTCATATAGCAGCTCACAGCGGTACCTCTGTGCAGTAACTGGTGAGGGCAGGTGGATTGTGATCATCTGAAGTAAAGCCTCTCCTGCCGGCAGCCAGCGACGCATCACAGCCTTTAGCAGGGGTTTGCCCTCCTTCTCCTTGTCTTCAACATCTAGCTTAATGTCCAGCTTCTCAATTAGCTTAGCAATTTCCTCCTTCTTGAAGTTCATGACGGCATCAAATACCTAGTGGGAATATTTAGAGCTCCATATAATTTCTATATGCACATGACAGACAAATCAATGTAGAGTTAACAACAGCCATATCAGACTGAGATTTTTCATCAAGACAATCAGGTCAAAGTGAAGAATTATTAAAATCATCATTAATGGCTTGAATAACAAATATAACATTGCCACTCAGTGCAGATTACTCACTTTGAAGATAGGGTCCAGGATCAGTTGAGCAAAAGTCCTGGGAAGCCTCTTGCCATCTGGTGAGGTGGCAGACTTGCTGAACTTGCCAGAAGCAGGGTCAAAATACCTGCAAGCAATGGCCACAAGTGTTACATAAAGAAAAACTACATTACATTCAGTTGTGTTCTGTTGGGTCTTCCTTTCACACCTGTCTCCCCAAAGCTTCTTCATCATGTCCTCCACCTTCTTGCAACGCTCAGCTGGCCCCAGCTGGGCTTCACCCTTGGCAGCAAACTTCATCACGTACATCTCAGCAAACTGCTTCAAAGTGAAGGCCCATCCATGCAGTCCAGATCCAAAGCCAACGGTACCAATGACTGGATCAATCTAAGAGCAGCAAGTTAAAAATTAGAAGATTTAGAAATATTTAGGACAGTCAATCTTAAATTCAACCCAGAGATATCACAGAAGAATAAGTTCTTTTACATTTTTAAAGGCCCATGAACGAGCCATGAGGCACTCACCATAATGCTGCCCATGGGTCCATGCTCATCCTCGCCATAGGTGGAGATAATCACGTTGACATTCTCAACAATGCGCTGGAAGGTCTGGTAAAGCTCTTCAGGGCCCAGCTGCAGCTCCAGAAGTGCACGGTCCATCTTGTTCATCATCAATACTGGCTTTATCCTCTCACCAATGGCTTGTCGGAGCACAGTCTCTGTTTGCACGCACACACCTGCAAGGACAGCGATTTGACATTTCAAAACATATATTCCACAGATTCAAGCAACATTTCAGAATGCCAGTGATGATTAGTCCTCTAATATCTTCTACCCTACTGTCCAGTATTACCAAAACACCACCATTTTAACATCACAATGACAATTTATGCACTTACCAGACACACAATCTACCACCACCAATGCTCCATCTGTGACACGCAGTGCAGCTGTAACCTCTGAAGAGAAGTCAACATGCCCAGGGGAGTCGATCAGATTAATGAGGAAGCCTAAGCCATCTTTGCATTGCTTAATGAAGGCCATATCATTGTCATTGAGCTCATAGTACAAGGAGATGGCACTGTGGGGGCAAACAGGGATGAAATCAATTTCTCATAGTGTTCACGCACACAATTCTCAATGTTTGTACATCAGTATTTAGACATTTAGGTTTAACAATATAACGGAAATGTTAAAACTCACATGGACTAGAATGAAAATGTTTAATACTCACGTGGACTTGATGGTGATGCAACGCTCCTGCTCGTCCTTCCTTGTATCCGTGAATCGGGTTTCACCAGCACGGGCTGAGGCGATGATACCAGCTTTTGACACCAGCGAGTCAGTCAAAGTGGACTTGCCGTGATCGACGTGCGCAATCACAGACATGTTACGGATGTTAGACTTCTTGTCCATGATGCCACGGATCTGGTCTACTGTGAAGTTCACCTAGGGACGTGAAAACGGGTAAAATTCTAAACGGTACATTTCAAGTTTTAAATAAGGATATTTTCCTAAATGGGCACTCAGTCCCAAAAGTATTCATGGTTTTGGATGATATACCGACCTACCAGCCTAAATGAATGAAGGTATAACAGTAAAGCCATGTGATATTTCATTCATTAATTGCATCACAGCATGTGAAATAATACATGCATTCATATAATAGTCTCTGCTGTCTTCAATCCTAACAAATTTCTAAGTAGTGGCTGTTGTATCAGTAAAATGTGAGTTTAAATGCACCTTTATGATGTTTTTAAAGTGACTTGAACACTTGGCTAATAGCCCATGTGATCTCAAAAGTGTGGTATCAATGAGGGGATCTTTAGAATGAAATTCCAGAAGACCATCATCAGTTATTCACCTTATGCAAGTGTACATTTAAATATTTCTATTAAAACTAACCGATTTAATAGAAATCTTGTGTGAAAAACTTTTACTTGTAAAATAAAAAAATACTTAATCTCCAAGGCATTACTGCAGAACAACGTGTCACTTTGAGGAGGTATTACAAAAACTACGATGTCTGTTTTCACTGTTTTGCTGACACCATTTAAACAGATCTAAGAATCAATAAAGCTGACAAAATCAGGGTAACAAAGCTAAGCAGCACAGTGGGAAAAAAGTGAAGTGATCTAATGATATTGGTTCACAATTTCTCTACAAGCTAACAATGAATTAGAAATTATCAATTCATTTAACAATTCTTTTCATCAGTAACTGTCCATTTAGTTTTCTTAACCAAGCAGGAGTTGAATGAAATGAGCCACTTCTGAAACACTTATCAGCATGTGTACAGCATCCTTACATCCTTAAGTCAAATTCAGTGACACCAAGCACTTAAATCGTAACAAAATGTTAAACTTTAGAAGGTTATTAACGCATTAATTAAACATTATCATATATCGACTTACCATTTTGCCTGATGTTTTTGGATTCGTTTAACGGCGAACCCAGTTTTTTTACACCGCCAGCCACGTTGGGACACAGGCAGGAAGAGACCGATGACGTCAATGTTCATAAATATATATCAAGCGCGCGCCGTACGTAGTGTACGTAATGACGTCGGGGCATTTATCAAATTTAAAGGTGTAGAATCTGTTGATCGCCCCCTGGCAAAGATGACAGAAAAGTGATTTTATTTTTAATGGTCGCTCGAAATGGAGTTTTAATGACCCGTGCTGATATTTAAATCTAGCGGCAGGGTATACAATGCCGATAAAATACAATTTATTTCTCAAATGACATAGGCTAGCTACTCATGAAATGGCTACAAAAAATTGTTGCTTGTTTTACACACTCAAAATTCACTATATGTAGGCTATATAGAAATTAATCATTTAAATGTTTTGCTTAAACTGTTTCCTTCATATTGAGGCCTATTCAGAATAAAATGGGCATTGAACAGAAGGTGGCGCCTCATCAGTAGCCTACATTCACTGTTGTAATTTCCCCAAAGTCTTGCATTCTGTTTTACACTTTTTTTTCTTTTTTTTTTTACAACAAAACACTCATGTAATGCTCTGAATTCCATAGCACCATAAAACAATACATTTTTAACATCAGGTATTGTGTTCACATATTAAGAGGAGGAAGAAAGAAAAAATATGACAGAAAAGGGTAGCTATAGGCCTATGTGTATCAAAATAAAAAAAGAGGAATTTAATTCTTTGTAAATGTCCATAGATGAATGCTTTAAGTCTTGAAAGTTTAAAAATAAATAAATATTTATGTCAGCCTTGAAATCTGTGATAATATGTTTCCTTTCAGACCATTTACATTTGTGTATGTAAAACTTACCAATAAATATTAAAAGATTTAACATTAAAATGTGACTCTTGTCTATATCTTTTTGTCGTTATAAAAATAGCATCTCTTTATAGCCTATGTTAATTTTCATTGCACTTAACATATTAAACAAATGTACCACATCAATCCAAACATTTTTTACATACATACATCAAAAAAATTGTTTCCATTTTATAAAATACACAATATTCAGAAAGATCAGTTTTATATCTATTTAGGACTGGTTTGTTTAATAAATTATAAGTATAATTTAAAAGTATATTTCATTAACTGTATTATTGATATAGTATTTGATATTATAGGCCTATATTCCAAATCAATCTCCAATTAATAGTCTCAAAGTGGTTACTCCTTTCATTAACCCATTTTTAAGCCAATTGTTGTAAGATTGATTTATTCTTAGTTTGTTGACCTCAAAGTCACATTTTAAAAGGAACTCTATAGTCTATACCGCACCGTTTTTTCTTCTTCTTCAAAAATTAAGATTTGGAATTATATACCATAGCTTATCTTTATGCTTAATATAATGTTTAATCCAGTTCAACTTGAAAATTGTATTAGAGGTAACAAAATTCAGACCTCCTTGATTTCATTAATTACATGAAAATACTTCTATTTAAATAGTGAGGCTTGTTTTTTCCATATGAAGTTAAATAAAATAGATTTTTTTTAAAGAAAAGAATGGACTAGAATTACACTAGATGTAATTTTAGAATACAACTGCACTTACTTCCCTTTAACATCACGTCAGGGCTATCATTACATTCTTATTTCTTTACCCTCAATGAGGGCTTTGGCTCAGACGAAGGCGGCGTTTTCCTTGCTTTCCTGCCTCTTCAATCTGGGGCCACAGTTTGATTTGTCATCTCTTTGTATATTTTGTGGTTAAAGGGATACTCCACTTTTTTTGGAAATAGGCTCATTTTACAACTCCCCCAGAGTTAAACTGTTGAGTTTTACGGTTTTTGGTCATTTTTTTTTTTAGAAATGCTAATGGTCTTGTCCACTCCAATGATGTATGCTAAGCTATGCTAAAAGTGGTACCGCCAGAAACGGAGATCGGCTGAATGGATTCAAAAACGGTAAAACTGAACAGTTTAACTCTGGGGGAGTTGTAAAATGAGCCTATTTCCAAAAAAAGTGGAGTATCCCTTTAAGTCTTCACCAAACTTCTTTGTTTTGAGGAATTACGAATTCTTTGCACATTTCCATACCCTTTTCTTTGGTTGATCTGCATGGATGTAAATCTTGTTATCACTGGTCGAGGTTTGCCATCTTCTCTCCATCCGATCCGCTTACGTTCATTTGGGAGCGAAGATCCTCTTCGGGGTCTTGAATGAATGCCTTACAGATGTCAATCATATGTTGTTTAAGGTCTTCTCCTTCCTGCTCTCGTAGGCCATACAGCGTCATGTTCCATCTTTCTGTGATAGCGTTGTAAATTTCACAAGCAGTTGTAATTGGGACAGCATGGAATTCTCGGTAGGTGAGTGATTCTAAATGGGATGTAAATCAAATATTTGAAAGATCATATTCGATTAGCATTATTGTGTTTATGTGTTTTGGATGGGATTAAGTCAGTGAAATCTACTTTGCCAATATGCGCTATTATGACATTTTTTTACTCTGTCTAAGATATTTTGAACTATATGAAAAGGTTACTGTC